GCAGAGGATGTGGTACAGGCATTGTTGGACTACTTGGTTGCTCCTATGTTGCCTTTGAAGTCCGCTGGCTGTGAAGTTCCTTCTCTTGAGTAACAACAATCGGTCGCCAAACAGGTCTCTCATTCATTTGCTTTTATTCAAATCAAACCCCATTGTTTTTTCCCTTAATTTCCCTTAGTTTTTGGCTCTTAAATTAAATTAATTTAGTGTTGGTCTGTAAAACAGTTGATCCCAAAAAAAAAAAAAAACCAAAAAAAAAACTCAGGGTTCGATTAAAGCCTATTGTTAAATTTTAGGGAAAATTGCGAAAAATAATTAAATTTTTATAGGGTTGGTAGTGAATTAAACCCAAGTTTTTTTAATTTCATCAATCTAAACATTGTTACACTTTGCCCTTTATGTTTGGTCTTTTTTTCAATCTTAAAGTTTATTTTTTCTTTACTCCAAAGGTAATTTTTGTTCAAAATTAGACAGAAAATATCACAATAACTGTCAAATAATATATTGACAAGGAACTTCACATTTTATAACATCTATTCTCTTCGCACTTTCTTGCCAATTTTGGATGCCATCTAAATCAGAGTATGTTAAACATTTTATAGTCCCCACTTGTTCATGAGAAAAAAAATGGTTCTATTCTCTTCGCACTTTCTTGCCAATTTTGGATGCCATCTAAATCAGAGTATGTTAAACATTTTATAGTCCCCACTTGTTCATGAGAAAAAAAATGGTAGAATCGATTGAGGATAAACTAACAGTTTGGTCTTGGACATGGGAAACAAGGGGAGGGAAGAAGAATCACTCCTTTGGTATTCACGTATATGATTTAGATTGTTAATTGCATGAATGTATTTTTTATGCAGAAACATTTTTGACTTATTCCATCATTAGGTTATATATGTCCCATAAGTGGAAGTCTGGTTTATTTATTTTTTATGTCACTACAAATTGGAAAGATTAAAAAATATAAAAAATAAAAAGAAAAAAGGTGTTTCTGTAGAGTTACAAATGCCCTATTTATCATTTTCTTTTACTATTTAGCATTTTGGAATTGTACCTATGAATCTGCATATAGGTTAATTATATCTTTTTAAAATCTATGTTCATAGGGTTTCCTAAATCTGAATTCTTGTTGGCTTGTTAGGTGTCTACATATCTTTAAGAATTTTGTCTGTGCATTTTGTATTTTTTATATAGTCTGTGCAAAGAAAATGAGTAACATGTAATAAATTTTTTTATCTATTTATTTAGGTTGGTGCAATTGTTCTATACACCTATGTTTATCAGATGCTTGAACCCCCTCCTGAAGGTACCTTCGACATTGAGGACAGAAATCTTCCCATCAAGTACACTGCTAAGGATAGCACGCCAGTGGAAACTCCTTTGCTTACGGAAGAGGTTGTACCAACAGATTCAGAGGCTCCAAAGAAAGGAAAGGTGAGAATCAACTATATTTGCTTCAAGATGTTGTGGCACTGTATTTTTTCTTCAGCTCCGCTGAAATCATGGTTGTTTATATATACCCCAAAAAAAAAAAAATGCGCAAAATGCTTTACCCTTACTGTAATGGAAGTGAAATTGGCAGGGAAATAATTAGCTTGTAAGTATCAATATGTAGATAAGTATCATCCCTACCAATTTAGTAGCAAGACACAATGAATGATCACAATTTCATCCCCTCACTATTACAACAACTTATTAGGATTAAAATGATAGAATGCATTGAAATCAGGGGGGTAGACATAGAAATGCAGCCCTCTGTCCATTTCCTGGATTTAGGAATTACATATTGGGGGTGATCCTTCACGTGTATCCCATTGCCTGGTTGGGATTTTGGTTTACCAGTGTCAAACCACTGCTTTAGGATATGGCAAAGTTTATGCTTCATTATCTGCTGGCAAGTTTTGATAGTTGACCTGAATGTGTACCTTTGATGGTATGTAAGGGTACTCCTCTGAAATGTTTTTCTCCCCCTCGGGATCAAAAATGATCTAGTTGAATCAAAACTAGCTTAAAAAATGTTTAAAGAATTCGTTCGTACTGGAACTTCCTTATAGAATTATGTTTGTAATACTAGTTTGCTTTGTTCCAATAACGTTCTATTCTTTAAACTCTTGTGCATTGGAACGTTCTATTCTTTAAGAACTCTTTAGCACTCATATATGCAACATCAAACAGTTGGTCACCATGGCAGCTTTGCATCTGCAATACTTGTATCATCCAAGAAGAAAGATTGCTAAAAATGAAGATTGGGTATCTGGGGACCAATAAATAACATAAATTATGGTCTAAGATAAGGAACATATTTACCAGAAATGATTAAAATATTATCGCCTTCATTCTTTTGAATTCATAGCTGGCATATTTACCCATTACATATATAGCTGTTAAAGGAAAAAAGCATTTGGGTTAGAACTGCTAATTGACAAGTGCAAATCTAATTAATATGCAATTGGAAGTGTGAACAAGAATACCTAATGAAGATATGCAGGTTAAGAAACAGATCTTGTGTTAAACAGATCTTGGTAATCTCACACATGCCATCAAAACAACCGCTTATTCCATATATGGGATTTTAATATCCTGATTCAGACATCCATGAAGACCTTTACCAGCTCATCAAATATTCCTGTGGTGAAATTTGTACAAGTGAACAGCTGTATAAAGTTATGAAGATTTGGACAACCTTCCTGCAACCGATTATTGGGGTTCCTTGTCGGCCTCAGGGGGCAGAGGACACAGAAGATGTTGTAAAGGCTAAAAATCAAATTTCACAAAGTGGTGCAGCTAGTGTTGGAGAAAGTAATGGCAGTCCAGTTGGTGGTGCAACTGTCATTACTACCAAGGATTCAAATCCTTCCAAAAATGGAGATGAAAGTAATCCACCTGAGCAATTAAGTTCCTGTCAAGCTGGGTTGGTAACTAGTGGTAATGGGATGAAGGAAGATGGTCTTCAGGACTGCTTCCAGTCAGTCTTTTGGTTTTATTTTTCTCACATTGATGGCTGGGATGCTGAGATGCACTTTTTATTGCTAGGGCTTGGTGCTACTCCTACGAGACATGGCAATGCTACTGTTGAGGGTGTGGCTGAAATGGGTCCAATTGATGAAATTTTACCTTCATTGGAGGTATGGATGAGTATAGTTTCTAGCAATAATTTCATGAAATTGGCATTCTTTGGTTATTGAGGTAACTCTAATCGGTCGAGCGCTATTGGTTTTGGCTACTTGTATTTTACTTTGATGTCTTTCTTTCCTACCTATTTCAATGAAGTACTTAATTACATCAAATTGGGCAAACAAATGCAGTTGGTAGATATCAAGGTAAGAGTTACAGATAAAATAACTAATGCTTAAATTTTCAGGAACTGGCATCGGATTATATTTAAGGATTTTCGAGGGTTGGTGTAGGTTAAGTTTCGCTATTTGTCATTTGGTATATATATATATATATATATTAATGTAATTTTAACACTGAAAAAAGAGAGAGATTGTGAAATCAAGTTTACAGTCTCTAGGCTGAATTTTTCTTATTAAAAAAAAAAATTATTGGTGAATGACCCTCTGGCCTAAAGCCTAGAAAATATTTGAGTCCCTAAACTTCCCTTACCCATCACTTCCTTTTTACACACCAATTGAGTAGTTTCTAACTCTGCAACTAATTCTACACACACACACACACACACACACACACACACATATATCTTTTGTGATCACTCATTAATCACATGATATTGCCTTGATCTTTCTAGTTTCAACTGAATAGGTATTAAGCCAGAAAGTTAGATATTTCTTTCACCGAAACACTGACTTTATAACTTAAGATTGTTGAAATGCTATTAATCCGCAAGTTTCCATCAAGTCCTGACAGTAGGACACTCTCTTGGCCTATTGATACAAGTTGGATTGCTTATGAATGACAATATTGTGATTGGGATATTGATGGTCTTGATCTTTAATATTGATTTATTGTTTATTAATGTAAGATCTTTGATCATCTTTGATGCTACAGGGTGGTTGTACAAGGCCAGTTTCATCTTCAAATGAGGTGATTGGGCACTTCAAAATTGAAAGAGAGGAGGGTGAATTATCTCCAAATGGAGATTTTGAGGATAATTTTGCAGCATATGGAGATGGTGAGGTGGAGGCTGCATGTAAATCCAAGGATAATTCCCCATTCTGAGATTTTTATTAAAACTGAGTTAAGTAACAGAAGTGATCATTGGTTACCTTTGTGAACTCTTGCTTTGTTTGAATCGTGAATTTATAAATGAAGAAAAAAGTAATTTATATTCATTTATATTGTGTTTATTTTTTTCATTTCTTTTATATTTTTAAATTTTATCGGAGGATAATTATGGAACATTATGTAGTGGGATAATTTTGTTGATGTGTAATTATGAATGGAAGAATATTTTATTATGAAGAAATTGTTATTTTTATACAGGAATTTTTATATTATTATGGAGAAATTTTAATATTTTTAATAATTTTATCGGAGGATTTTTTTTTCTTTTTTGTGACGGCACTACACTGTCGCAAAAAACAGAATAAATTTTTAAAAGGAGCTAATATTTTGAAATAATAAAAAATAAAATAAAGAATTAAAATTTTAGAACGGAGTAGAAAACAAGATAATTTTTATTAAACCTTCATTTGACATAAATTAAAATGGGATTTTTTGACTAAAATAGTCAAAAAAGACAAATAAATTTTTTAGACTAATAAGACAAAATATCACATCTAAACCATAATAATTTTATTTTTTCTCTCATAAAAATCAGAAAGTCTATCAATTTTTAACCCTAAATTAAAATAGCTAAAAAATTAATTCACATCCCAAACGAATCCTAAGTTTAATCTGTTATAACTGAAATTAATATATATTTTGACAAATTTTTATTACAAATGTTAAAAATCTTAAAAAATTTATTAAAATTTTTCACATCCTCAAATATTTGATAAAAATTTTAAAATTCTCTTAAAATACTCAATTTTTATATTTTAAAGATATTTTTTTACACGCTTTCAAACATTAAACAATTTCAAAAAAAAAAACACTCGGGCAGCATTTGTCAAGAGATAAAGTTAGTCTTTACCCGCCAAGGCTTCGCGCCTTTTCATGAAAAAAAGCTGACAAAACGCCACTTGGTCCACTCAGCAGAACACTTTCCGTATCCCAAACTGTCTGCCACGAGCCAAGGTTCTCCTTGCAGCCTGGTACTTGCGCCCGTCCTTGTAAGCCTTCGGGTCTATTTTTAGGCCCAATTTTAATAATCCGAACCGTTCATATTTTATGATTTATTCAGTATATCATACCTGTAAAAATCAAGTTGATCGGATATCAGAAAGTATGTGTTTGGAAAATTGTTTATTAAATTATTTAAAAAATAGTTTTTAGTTCAATTTTTCGAACACATACTTTCTGATATCCGATCAATTTGATTTTTTACAGGTATGATATACTGAATAAATCATAAAATATGAACGGTTCGGATTATCAAAATTGGGTCTAAAAGTAGAGGCATGAGGACGGCCGCAAGGATGGAGGCTGCAAGGAGAGGATCCTGATTCGTCTGCCACAGAACCCCCAGTAGAAGACCACTGTCCCAACTCGCTCTCTCTGTCTTTCTCTACGGAGTCCACGAGGGTCGCGCTTTGTTTGATCGGTAACCCTTCCTCGATTCTTTTGATTTTTTACTTCACTGCTACTATTGTCATAAACCTTAATCTTCTTTGTGATTTTGATTGGATTGTTTAAGAGGATCGATTTGATGGTTGAAAAAGCTTCAGAGGTCATGGAGTCAAAGTCATCATCATCACAATCGGAGATTGGTTCATTTCCGCCCAAATTCTTAACCATGTATGTTAAGAGTGTTGTACGTATAAATTTTGAGCTGAAATTTCTTGGCAAAGGCAAGAGACTTATGTAATTTTGTCCATTTTGAGTGTTTTTTTCATCTCACATTATATTCTTTATTATTACAGTAATGCTAGGTATCATGGTTGAAATCATTTCTTGCCTTTGAAGAGTTTAAGAAGGAGGTCGGTAAAAGAGGTATGAAGGAAATAAGAGTTAGAGAAGGAGGAAAAAAAAAAAAAAAACCAAAAAAAACTCAGGGTTCGATTAAAGCCTATTGTTAAATTTTAGGGAAAATTGCAAAAAATAATTAAATTTTTATAGGGTTTGTAGCTAATTAAACCCAAGTTTTTAAATTTCATCAATCTAAACATTGTTACACTTTGCCCTTTATGTTTGGTCATTTTTTCAATCTTAAAGTTTATTTTTTCTTTATTCCAAAGGTAATTTCTGTTCAAAATTAGACAGAAAATATCACAATAACTGTCAAATAATATATTAAATATATTAGTACATTAGAGTTTAAATTTATGTGAGAGTTATATATAATAAAGGATCATTTTCTGTCTAATTTTGAAAAAAAAAAAGTTTTAGGAGTAAAGTGGAAAAAATTTGAAGCATAAAACGCCAAAGTAGAAAAAAAAAAAATTAAAAAAACAACAACTTTAAGGGCCAAAGTGAGAAACTGGCCAAACATCAAAGGGGCAAGGTGTAATTTACCCTATTTTTAAACTGGTCAAACTCAAACCACCCATTCAGTTTTTGTTTAGTGAATGAATTTTTTTTAGGACATGTGCCTTATTTGCTCTTTTAACTTGATGGAAATCCTAACTTTAATTTAATTTAACCACACTAGATTAATCTACATAGATCATAACCATTTGTGGATACGCAATTTCATAAATGCGGTCATCGGTGGCGTAGCCAGGAATTGCACTCAGTGTGGTCATTCAGCAAATATCATATTTTTAGTTTAAGAAATGTTATTACGTCACTGTTTTATTTTGAAGATAATTATTATGGAATTAATTAATACAAATCTTGTCACATATCCTGAAGGTGAAAAAAAGAAATGATATAAAACAGTTCTTTTTAGTTTTATAGAACCTATCAACATTAATGCTCAAATGATGCCCTGTGAATTTTATATATTCTCAATCACATTGACAAAAGTAATTCAAACTACTCAAATTACAAGTACAAACAAAAAAATTGGGATATTAATATTGTTACTTCATTAAAATTGTGATTTTTGTGGCTGGAAGAAATGTCGGAGAGAGAGAACGAATGAAGGAAACACTCTGTGTGTGTGTGTGTGTGAGAGAGAGAGAGAGAGAGAGAGAGAGAGAGAGAGAGAGAGAGAGAACAAATGAAGAAATGCATCAATGGCAATGTAGCAATGGTTGTTGGAGAATGAAGCGTTGAGGGAGCGAATGAATGAATGAACTTTGAGCTTGTTTCATAAAGGAATAATGTTATACAAAGTAATAAAATTCTACTCACTGATATGACATCTATATCATTGAAGTAAATTATGTTTTAATTTCTAAAAGTTTCATCACTGCATGACGCATTTGTTAGTAAAAAAAACAAAAACTTTGTATGACATTTTCCTTCTAAAATACTAATTGTATATATATATTAACTTCATTGGGTCAATTTGTAAAACTCCAAAATTTAATATTTTGTTTCTAGATTCACTGAGGTCATTTTGCTAAAACCCAAAACTGTTGGACAAAATACCACATATTTGAACAAAATTTGAAAGTCCAGTGCTTTCAATTGACACCACTAAACAATGAATAGCTTTGCCCCTGGCTGTCATTGAACTAGTGAATGTAGGGACAATTTTTCTGGATTTATATTCATCAAAAGAACGAAAGCATTGAATTTTCTAGTTAGCCTGAGTTGTATGTTTGTGTGAGATTTTGGAATTGCAGGATTCGTGTGATAAGATTGTATATGTTATCTGGAACATGGATTGTTCTGGTATGTGGAATGGCCACATACTTGAAATGTGGTGCAATAGGGGTAGATTTGTATAGGTTACACTGTAATAATTTAAGGTACTTATAGATTCTTTTAACAATTAGGCATCCAATAAAATATTAGCTTTTTATTCCTACCAAATTAATCAAGTAGTAACAAAATTTTATATGAGCATTAAGACCATTTTTTGATGTTTTGTCTTGTCAAACCTTCACCCACCTTAGATTTTAGTTATTGTATTTGATTTTTTTCCTCCCAAGGAAATCTTTGAAGAAATATATTGGAAAAAAAAACTTTAGGATTGCTTTAGATCTCTAAATTTACCATTTTGGAATAAAAGTGTATCATGTTTTCGAACGTGTGTTCCAAAAGGTAATTCGCTAGGCTATTAGCGTTTTGTGGTAACACGAAGGTGAAAAGTTTGGCTACTTGGTAATTCAGAGAGAGAGAGAGAGAGAGAGAGTCACCTTGGAGTTGTGAGAATAGATCGACTTTGTGTAGGGTTTGGAAATAGGGGTTTGAAGAGAGATAGGGAGTGGGTTTGGAAATAAGGATTTGGAGGCGCTTTCAAACGACCTCTATTCAGAAATGGGACCGTTTTAATTAACACAAAAGGCGACGTTTACAAAACATCGTTAATTATCAGAAAAGGTGACGTTTAAAAAAACGCCGTTAATTAAACGTCGCTAAATCCATGATTTCCTGTAGTGAATGTTATATATCACTATTTTTTTTGTCACTCTTTTATGTAAATAATATTTTTTTATATAACCTGGTGATATTAAATGATAAAAAAGATGATAAATAACAACTCTCTATTTAGTTTGATTTTCAGAAATTATTTTCAAAAAAAATAAAAAAATTTAATTTGATGAAAAAAAATTAAAAATACATATAATTTTCATAGAGTTTTATCGTTTTAGAGAGTATGAATAGTTTTTAAAATATTTTTTTAATATTTATTTCTGTCAGAAATAGTTTTTATTTTTTTAAAAAAAAAATTGAGGAAACACTACAAGAAAAGGGAGCATAAAACACAGGAGTTTTTGCAACGACGCGCTTCCCGTCACAAAAAATGGTTTTTTGCGACGACATTTTTAACCGTCGCAAATAAGCGCTTTAGCGACAGCGTTTTACCGTCGGTAATAAAACTACACGGATAAACAGAAGTATTAGCGACGGCGTTTGTTGCCGTCGCAAATAAAAATTTTGTTGAGACGGCATGAGTTGGCTGTCGCAAATAGTGGTCCATCTGCGACGGCAAAATGTCTGTCGCCAAAAAAGCTTATTGAAACGGCGTCGGTTTAGCTATAATAATTTATCATTTGCGACGGTATAAAATGTACGATCGCAAAAAGTAAAAAAAAATTGCCGCTCTTATCCCTTTCATCTTGGCGCTCGCATTTGGGTCGAAAGCCCTAAATGTTTGAAATCCCTAAATGTTCGAAATCCCCAAATGACAAACGGTGAACTTTTTTCCCCTCTGGATGAGCGACGAACAACGAGCAGGCTAGCGGTGGTGCGGCGACGACAACAGCGAGGGCTGGACCAGCGACGACTTTCTCACTCAGCGTATGCTCTGTCTCTCTCTCTCTCTCTCTCTCTCTCTCTCTAATCATGTGAAGCAGCTTCTCACATTTTATGACAAGGAACTTCTATGAACAAAAATTTTGACAACCTGGAGCATTGAGGTTCATTGTAAGTGTACGCCACTTGGTCCACTTAGCAGAACACTTTCCGTATCCCAAACTGTCTGCCACAGACCCCTAAAGTAGAAGACGACTGTCCCAACTCGCTCTCTCTGTCTCTCTCTACGGAGTCCACGAGGGTCATGCTTTGTTTGATCGGTAACACTGACTAGCCCTTTCTCGATTCTTTTGATTTTTTACTTCACTACTACTATTGTCATAAACCCTAATCTTCTTTGTGATTTTGATTGGATTGTTTAATAGGGTCGATTTGATGGTTGAAAAAGCTTCAGAGGTCATGGATTCAAAGTCATCATCATCACAATCGGAGATTGGTTCAGTGATTTTGATTGGATTGTTTAATAGGGTCGATTTGATGGTTGAAAAAGCTTCAGAGGTCATGGATTCAGAGTAATCATCATCACAATCGGAGATTGGGTCAGCAGAGGATGTGGTACAGGCATTGCTGGACTACTTGGTTGCTCCTATGTTGCCTTTGAAGTCCGCTGGCTGTGAAGTTCCTTCTCTTGAGCAACAACAATCGGTCGCCAAACAGGTCTCTCATTCATTTGCTTTTATTCAAATCAAACCCCATTGTTTTTTCCCTTAATTTCCCTTATTTTTTGGCTCTTAAATTAAATTAATTTAGTGTTGGTTTGTAAAACAGTTGATCCCAAGAAAAAAAAAAAACCAAAAAAAAAACTCAGGGTTCGATTAAAGCCTATTGTTAAATTTTAGGGAAAATTGCAAAAAATAATTAAATTTTTATAGGGTTGGTAGTGAATTAAACCCAAGTTTTTTTAATTTCATCAATCTAAACATTGTTACACTTTGCCCTTTATGTTTGGTCTTTTTTTCAATCTTAAAGTTTATTTTTTCTTTACTCCAAAGGTAAATAACTATCAAAATTAGACAGAAAATATCACAATAACTGTCAAATAATATATTGACAAGGAACTTCACATTTTATAACATCTATTCTCTTTGCACTTTCTTGCCAATTTTGGATGCCATCTAAATCAGAGTATGTTAAACATTTTATAGTCCCCACTTGTTCATGAGAAAAAAAAATGGTAGAATTGATTGAGGATAAAACTAACAGTTTGGTCTTGGACATGGGAAGCAAGGGGAGGAAAGAAGAATCACTCCTTTGTTATTCACGTATATGATATAGATTGTTAATTGCATGAATGCATTTTTTATGCAGGAACATTTTTGACTTATTCCATCATTAGGTTATATATGTCCCATAAGTGGAAGTCTGGTTTACTTATTTTTTATGTCACTGCAAATTGGAAAGATTAAAAAATATAAAAAATAAAAAGAAAAAAGGTGTTTCTGTAGAGTTACAAATGCCCTATTTATCATTTGCTTTTACTATTTAGCATTTTGAAATTGTACCTATGAATCTGCATATAGGTTAATTGTATCTTTTTAAAATCTATGTTCATAGGGTTTCCTAAATCTGAATTCTTGTTGGCTTGTTAGGTGTCTACATATTTTTAAGAATTTTGTCTGTGCATTTTGTATTTCTCATATAGTCTGTGCAAAGAAAATGAGTAACATGTAATAAATTTTTTTATCGATTTATTTAGGTTGGTGCAATTGTTTTATACACCTATGTTTATCAGATGCTTGACCCCCTCCTGAAGGTACCTTCGACATTGAGGACATAAATCTTCCCATCAAGTACACTGCCAAGGATAGCACTCCAGTGGAAACTCCTTTGCTTACGGAAGAGGTGGTTCCAACAGATTCAGATGCTCCAAAGAAAGGAAAGGTGAGAATCAACTATATTTGCTTTAAGATGTTGTGGCACTGTATTTTTTCTTCAGCTCCGCCGAAATCATGGTTGTTTATACACCCCCTCCCCCCCCAAAAAAAAAGAAAAAAAAATGAAGAGCAAAATGCTTTACCCTTACTGTAATGGAAGTGATATTGGCAAGGAAAGAATTAGCTTGTAAGTATCAATATGTAGATAAGTATCATCCTGACCAATTTAGTAGCAAGACACAATGAATGATCACAATTTCATCCCCTCACTATCACAACAACTTATTAGGATTAAAATGATAGAATGCATTGAAATCAGGGGGGTAGACATAGAAATGCAGCCCTCTGTCCATTTCCTAGATTTAGGAATTACATATTTGGGGGTGATCCTTCACGTGTATCCCATTGCCTGGTTGGGATTTTGGTTTACCAGTGTCAAACCACTGCTTTAGGATATGGCAAAGTTTATGCTTCATTATCTGCTGGCAAGTTTTGATAGTTGACCTGAATGTGTACCTTTGATGGTATGTAAGGGTACTCCTCTGAAATGTTTTTCTCCCCCTCGGGATCAAAAATGATCTAGTTGAATCAAAACTAGCTTAAAAAATGTTTAAAGAATTCATTCGTACTGAAACTTCCTTATAGAATTATGTTTGTAATACTAGTTTGCTTTGTTCCAATAACGTTCTATTCTTTAATCTCTTGTGCATTGGAACGTTCTATTCTTTATGTAATGTTCTATTCTTTAAGAACTCTTTAGCACTCATATATGCAAACATCAAACAGTTGGTCTCCATGGCAGCTTTGCATCTGTAATACTTGTATCATCCAAGAAGAAAGATTGCTAAAAATGAAGATTGGGTATGTGGGGACCAATAAATAACATAAATTATGGTCTAAGATAAGGAACATATTTACCAGAAATGATTAACATATTATCGCCTTCATTCTTTTGAATTCATAGCTGGCATATTTACCCATTACATATATAGCTGTTAAAGGAAAAAAGCATTTGGGTTAGGATTTCTAAATGACAAGTGCAAATCTAATTAATATGCAATTGGAAGTGTGAACAAGAATACCTAATGAAGATATGCAGGTTAAGAAACAGATCTTGTGTTAAACAAATCTTGGTAATCTCACACATGCCATCAAAGCAACCGATTATTCCACATATGGAATTTGAATATCCTGATTCAGACATCCATGAAGACCTTTACCAGCTCATCAAATATTCTTGTGGTGAAATTTGTTCAAGTGAACAGCTGGATAAAGTTATGAAGATTTGGACAACCTTCCTGGAACCGATTATTGGGGTTCCTTGTCGGCCTCAGGGGGCAGAGGATGCAGAAGATGTTGTAAAGGCTAAAAATCAAATTTCACAAAGTGGTGCAGCTAGTGTTGGAGAAAGTAATGGCAATCCAGTTGGTGGTGCAACTGTCATTACTACCAAGGATTCAAATCCT